TTAAAAAACATTTAGCATGTGGTTTTTCTCAAAAAGTTTCAATGGTTTTTTTTATAAATAATAAGAATGACCCATTTACATACACTTTCATATTACTAAGATTTAACTTTTTTCTTACATGCTTGCAGTTTATTTCAATATGACCATATATCAAGTTTGTCAAGACGTTAAAATTCATGAGGTCAAAATTTTGTCTTCCCTACTCCGCTCTTGTCGTTATGTCGAAGCGAATGTGTTGGATACGTTCAGTACAAGCTTTGAGATAATTAGGTCAAATTTGTTCAAACAAACTAAAATAATTAGGTTGAAAGTAATTGAAAACTTGGCTGCTAAAATTCCGAAAGTGATTTTAAATTTAAGCCGCTGATAAAATGGGAAAGAAAAGTTATAGCTTTTACATATAAAGTGAAAAAATAAACTAATCAAAACATTTAAAGGGAATTTGAATATTGACTTCTTAACACGATCAAAGTCAATGATGTAGTATCACACAAGAACCATCGTTCTTTACTTGCTAATCCATTGCTTGGTTATTTAAAAATAATGATATTTTTGTTATTTTTCTTCAAGATTTCATAACATTAGAAACCAAGTTATCAAATTACACATATTCAAATCCTTAACAACATAACTAAAGAAGATAAATTTGAAAAGCTTTTGGAATTTCTCCAAAATTAAAACTACTATTAGAAAAGGTACATTTCATACTATTATGAAGAGATCATTTTCCTTTAAGATTATTAGAGACTATATAGATGAGAAAAAAAACTATATAAGTAATAATAAGAAACAAAAAATAAATTTCAATTTGTAAATATAAATTAGAATGAATAGATTAATAGTATCATATAGGTTATATTTATTAAAATGCTAAATACAATATCATATGACTTTTTAATGTATAACTAAAATTGAATTTAAACTTAAGTTAATTAATCTAAAAATGTCAATTATTAACGCCCGGATTTTCCTCTAGTGATCACTAAATTTAATAAAACTGAAACAATTTAAAAGCAAAGAGAAAGTTATATGAACAATTTTAAAAAATATCTAATTAAATACTACTATAGAGAGCAAATCTTTAATTAATCATATAAGTGTCTATATGTATATAATAAACACATAATTTAAAAATAGTATGTGGGATGAAAATCACATGTCAATATATTTAAGAATAAAAGAACTTTGTGTCTTTTTTTATTTTCATCCTTTTCTGAAACTACCCTTACAGATTTTAATTTTTTAATTTTAATTCAAAACAAAAATGTATTTCAAATTATAAAATACATGGTGGAAAAATTATAATCATAATATAATTATTTAAATATTAGTACCTTGACGGATTATATCCTTGATTCATAAGACATTATCTTCAATATTTACGAATTTTAACTTTCTTAATTAAACAATTTCGAGATAAAAATATTCACATCATTATTTAAAAATTTTAAAGTCTTTATCAAATTTTTACAATTTTATCCTTATATTCTCGCAAAATAAAATCGAAGTCAAAATTTATAGAGATTTTGTTAAAGATTTTTTTGTAAACTTTGATCTTTTGTGTAAGAATCATAGATATCGTATCCAATAGATTTAATCTAAAAAATTTCATAAAGTATATAATAGATTAAAGTTTAATGAAATATCACTTATGAGATGAAATAATGACACATAGCATATTGTTAAAAGATTTTTTAAATCCAATTGATGTGTTCGTCAAATAACTCCGGCCCCAATAATTTCACTTCTTAGATATCCACAAACGTTTTAAATATTATATAAGCTAAATGACATATAACACAACATGTTTTATAATTCATAAATAAAAACATTCACATTTGTCATATGTACCTACGTCTCTAGTTATAAAATACTTAATACAAATGATAAAATTGGTACAAAATTAAACGAAACAAATAAAACCACTAAAGCAAGTACCACCACCTCCACCTACAACATACCGTACCTTCAACCACCTCCACCACCACTGTATCCTCCACCACCTTGAGAACAATCTCTCGCCATATAACTTGGTTCACTACACCTAAAGCAAGTACCATCACCACCATATCCTCCTTAATAATTTCCACCATCACGTCCTCACCTCCACAGCCAAAACCACCACGTCCACCAGATGAACCGCCGTTATTTCACTGAACAGGAGCACCCTCGGGTCCAGAAACTTCAACAGTCTTCAGACGACTGGCGTTGTCAACCTCAACCTTGAACTCAACAGCTTCATCAACGGCAAGGCTACGAAATTTTTCAGAGCTAATGGACTGGTGAACGAAGAGATCGTCACCACTCACCACCGTCGTCTAGTGTGATGAAACCAAACCCCTTGTGTGTATTAAACAACTTCACCGATCCCTTGCGTCTCTATCCACCACTCATATTTTCATCACCGTCGCTCATTCGGATCAAAGTCTCCGACAACCAAAAATCACTGATCGGCTATTTTTCCTATCTCTCATAATAAAACATATAAATTAAAGTCAAAATAGGATAGCTATTTTTCCTATCTCTCATAATAAAACATATAAATTAAAGTCAAAATAGGTTAATGGCAATTAAATAAACAAAAGAATATAAAATTACATATTCATAGCATATTCAATCCTTTAGTCGCCTAAAACTGAAATTAAAAAATATATTTTGAATCTAAAGATGGGATTGAACTTTTTGATCCATGAAGAAAACATGTACCATAAAATACACAAATTAACTCACACGTCAGTTGTAATCTTCTCTCCATCGATTCAAGTATTAATTTCCACACATCCAAATTATGATTGAATGTAAAAATCATATGTGGAAATTGCGGCATCTTTCAATTCACTAATCAAAACTGAAACAATCAAACCCTAAACTTTTCTCTCACGACTACAAGGATTCAAAGTGATAGAATTGCTTAAAAGCCCAATATCTATTTAACAATTTCATCACGATAGACATGCCTATGCAATCTCGGCCGATATCGTTTTAGAGAACTCTGTTTTTCCCGAGCTTAAAAATAGACTCAATATGTTTTAGAAAGCAAATTAATGTTAGAGTTTCTAAAAACAAAAGAAAGCATATAAATAATTCATAACAAAATACAAATAAAAATAGTAGATTAGAGATTACCTTCTCGTAGTCATCTAATAATAAAAAAAAAACTCATAAAATTAAGAAATATTAATATACAAAAATACATGTTTATATCAGATCGATTTAAACGTAGAGATGAGTTCTTCGAGAACCTTGACCAACATAGTTCCAATAATTTATCAAATCTTTCATATAATAACACGACATAATTATTTCTACGAATAACAAATATTCTATAAAAAAAAAGGTCTCAATCACACAAATAATCAAAGAAAATAATCAACAACCAATATACAAAATAAAAAGAAAAAAACAAAAAAAAATCTAAAACATAGTCGATTATAATATACCTTATCAATCTCATTGACCTCCAAAAACTTGTAAATCACTTCCGCATCAGCGCAATGCTCCGCCTTCAAAAACACAAAAACTATGAGTAACGTTGACAAAAAAAAAAATATTTCGTTATGTAGTGCATGGTAAAAAATTATTTTACATCAGATCCGATGAGAGACAACTATCAATAATTAAACCAACACAAATTATAAAATTGTAAGTAATTTACAAAGAGACATAAGAGAAGCGCTAACTAAAATTAAAGAGGACTCACGATTGATGTAAAAAGTTTGTTAATGAATTTAATGAAAAGGCATGTCTTCATCAACTCGTTCATTCAATCTCTTGATAGAAACTCCCATGAGCGGTTACCTAAAACATAATTCACACGATACAAATCAGCAAAACAATAACAATCTTAATAATTCATAGACCAAGATAATAACAATACAAATATAACCTCAAGAAAAAGTAAAAAATAATAACGCAAAATAAAAAAATCGATCCATAAAAGAACCAAAGCAACAAAAAAAAAAGCTATAATATCAAAACGATATGTTTAGGCTAACGAATCTGAGTTCTAATGGTGTGGCTGCGGCTCTATATTTATAGCTTAAAATCTAGGGCACACTGTCGTAATTATCTCTAAAAATTTATTTTTTAAAATTGGAAAATTTCTTGATACAAATATTCGTAAGATATTTTAATATCTATCTTAAATTTTTATAAAAATTAAAAAAACGAAATATTCCATATTTTAATATTAAAAAACGAAATATTCTATATTTTAATATTAAAAAACGAAATATTCCATATTTTAATAAAATTCACACGATTTTATTGTTTTACCCTCACCAAAAAATAGAAAACTGAATTTGATAGTGTATTCATTAAGGGTGATTAAGACTAATCATCTCAAAACACGATTAGACTTATATACCCCTAACAATTAAGAACAAAAAATTTCGAAATCGAGGGTGTTTAGGACATTAGTATAGAGATCAACACACGATTAGACTTATATACCCCTAATTACGAAGAAGAAGAAATTTCGAGAAGAACAATTCATTAAGGGTGTTTAGGACAAATCATTCCAACTTTTAACCACAGGCCTCCAATGCCCTAACTTTGAATATGGTGTGTTTCTACTTCTCAATTAATTATTGTAGAGATATTCAACACGTTTAAAGTTTCTTATAAAATTATTTTATTTTAATAGTATTATATTCTCATATCTAGCTGTATTAAATTCTATAAATATCATTTTGTTGGTTTAACTTAGTTTGTCTACTTGTTAAAAATACCATTGTAACAAGACTTTGTCTTTAAATGCTTTAACAATTTCATAGAATCAGAAAAGGGAATTAATAGAGACCCTTCAACACCTTGGCTAAAAGCCTATCTCACATTTCTAAGTAAATCCACCGTCCATAGAATACTCGTGTCATTTGGTCACCGAATCATACAAAATAATGGAATGTATTCTACTCAGTACTCATTAAGGAAATCACAAATAAATTACTTTTTACAAAACAAAATCTTGGCAAGCTCATAAAATTGTTCTGTATTTAAATAGAGTCTTGTAATCCGGGACTCTTTAACAAGCAAGAAAAGGTAAGCTAACTAAACTGAGAAAAAACAGCAAAGATAATCAGAGAGAGCAGAAAAAAAGAAAACAGAGATTCTTTTAAACTAACGAAGACATAGGTATGTCTTCTCTGATCTGTCTGTAACATTAGTTTTGCTTGGCTTTTATTGGTTTAGCTTAGATCGCTTTGTTTTGCAACCCAAAGATCTGACCTCTGAGTCTCATGATTTTGCAAAGAAAGCTTAGTCTTTTGTGTTCTTGAAATCTTAGGTTTGTGTTCTTGAAACTTATGTTAGCTTCTTTGGAATTCAGTGAGGTAGACAAAAGTTTAAGTTTAGTACGGTTATCAAAAGAGATTGATTTCTTGAAAATAATTGTTGGAATATCAAGAATTTGTGTAAAATAAAGGAAATAAAATTAGTTTAACTTTGAGGTTTTGTGGTGATTTTGGTTAGTTGCACCTAACTTTTTCTCAATGTTTCTTGGTCTTCACATTTCTATAATTCCATTTATTATATTTCCTATTGTTTAATTTAGGTAGCTTTGGTATAATCTGTTAACTTGATGTTTCTTCTCATAGAGATTTGAGGACTTTATGTTAAGGTTATATTATACTAAGAAAATGTTTTTGCAGCGTTTTTCTGAAGTAGAAGCTTTGGTATTCGGAAAAATGTCGTTTGGTAGTATTGTTCGTGATGTTAGAGATAGTATAGGAAGCTTTTCGAGACGTAGTTTCGAAGTTAGAGTGTCTAATGGGACTCATCAGAGGAGTAAATCTCACGGTGCATCTGTTGAGACACATATTGAAGATCTTGTTGTAATCAAGAACACTCGTTGGGCTAATTTACCGGCTGCGCTGTTACGAGATGTGATGAAAAAGTTGGATGATAGCAAGAGCACTTGGCCTGCTCGTAAGCAAGTTGTTGCTTGTGCTGGTGTTTGCAAGACATGGAGACTAATGTGCAAAGATATTGTGAAAAGTCCTGAGTTCTCAGGCAAACTCACATTTCCAGTTTCATTGAAACAGGTTCGAGGTTTTGTTATTCGTTACTTCCATTCGACATTATCTCGGTTATTCTGACAAACTCTTTTGATGGTGCAGCCCGGGCCTAGGGACGGAACCATACAATGTTTTATCAAAAGGGACAAGTCTAATATGACTTACCATCTTTACCTTTCTCTTAGTCCTGGTAACTCATTCGTGTTTGTCGACGTTACTAAACCTCTGCTTCAGTAAACTCTGTTTGATCATTTGGACTCAAAATGTAGTAGAACCCATATATATGTCTTAGTTATGATTAAATTCAATACTTATCAAGATCTTGAAAATATCAAGAACTCAAATTTTATCTATTACTTGGTTTTTGACTCTTGATATTACTACTAAGTACTAACCTTTGTCAAATTTGTACAGCCTTACTTGTTTAAAGTGGAAAGTTTCTTCTCTCGGCAAAGCGCACACGGAGAACTACATACACAGAGTATGTGATGTCAATGGATGCAGACAACATATCAAGATCAAGCAGCACTTACATTGGCAAACTGAGGTGAAAAGATTAAAAAAAAAATCATTCGTCCAAATGTATAGTTCTTGATTAATTCTGACAAACGTTGTCTTACTTCATTTTCAGGTCTAACTTTCTAGGGACAAAATTTATAGTATATGATACGGCTCCTGCGTACAACAGTAGCCAGATATTGTCCCCACCAAACCGGAGTCCTAGGTTCAACTCCGAGAAAGTCTCTCCCAAGGTCCCCTCTGGAAGTTACAACATCGCTCAAGTTACATACGAGCTTAACGTGTTTGGAACCCGTAGACCTCGCAGGATGAACTGCACTATGCACTCTATCCCTTCCTTAGCTTTAGAACCCGGTGGTACTGTCCCTGGCCAACCTGAGTTTCTACAACGTTCCCTTGATGAATCTTTCCGCAGCATCGGTTCCTCAAAGATAGTCGACGACTCGGGAGATTTCACCAGCGCCCGGTTCTCAGACGTTGTTGGACCGCAAGGAGAAGAAGATAAAGGAAAGGAACGACCTTTGGTACTGAAAAATAAACCCCCGAGGTGGCACCAAAAGTTGCAGTGCTGGTGCCTTAACTTCAGAGGGAGAGTGACAGTAGCTTCAGTAAAAAACTTCCAGTTGGTATCCGCTGCAACGGTTCAGCCCGGCGCTGGAGCATTGACCACATCGGTATCATCACAGAAGCAAGGGCAACCAGACCATGATGAGATGATACTACAGTTTGGGAAAGTGGGTAAGGATATGTTCACTATGGACTATCGTTATCCTCTCTCTGCCTTTCAGGCATTTGCCATTTGCTTGAGCAGCTTTGATACTAAATTGGCATGTGAATAAAAGTAGAAAGATCATAAGATGGAGTTCAAATGAATAGGAACCGTTTGATGTATACGGTATCGATTATGCTAGGGGGCTTGTTTGTTTTTGTTTATCTCATCTCGTGTGCTGGTGAATGTGAACATTATGGTTATTTATCTTCTAAAAGTTGAAATTGGTAATAAATGCATAGCACCATTAGTTGGTGAACTTTTATAAATTTTCGGTCGAAATACACACTTTTAGAAAGAATTATGATGCTAGAACCTAACTTTTTTTGTTGTGTTAGCCTAGTATTCTTACTTATAAAATGACCATGGTAAATCAATAGGATAAAACAAGATTTCGTCGGTCCTATATCATATGAATTTAGATCCTACATGATTTTTATATTAGAAACGATCAAAGGAAGTTGATTTTGTTGATAAAGCTTACAATTTGGCTAAAACGTAAAAATTCTTTGATTTTGATTCATAGAAGTTTAAGAGGGTTTCATGGCAAGATATTTGATTCAAAAATACCTCAAGAGATGGTGATTCACATAGAACCAAAAGGAGATGAAGAAGATAAATATGTCTGAGGCTTAATACGTTTTGAAAGATAACATTTTTTGTAAGTTTATATATAAGTCAATTTCTAAAACAATTCTAAAACAATTCAAACTGCAACAAGCCAATTTCTAGGCTCATAATATACATCCACAATTTTACGGATCTAGAAAAAGATTTCAAGTCAAGATTCGTAATCTCGGGATTGTTGTAAAATTCTTGGAAAGTCACATAAGTTTCAAATCAAGCACGTAATTACTAAACACATCATACTAACTTTGGGACTGGATATATATATATATATATATTTTTTTCCTTAGGCTGGATATTTTATAGTCATCAAAACTAACCAGTAAACAAAAGATGTTTGGATTTTTAGATTTAGGTGTAACTAGGGATTTGAAAAAAAACTTTCCAAACAATTTTACCAACTCGATTGAATTTATTAAGTTGAGTGTTTGTATTAAAAAAACAAAACAAACATAATCGCATAATAGATAATTTATTATTAATTATTATTCTATTTTACAAATCTAAAATTTACATATTAAAATCGAAAAATACAATCGTGTTTATTTTAAATAATTATAGAGATAAAGAAGACAAAAAAAAAAAGAAAAACACAAATTACCAAACGCTCGAGAGTAAGACCAAGTGTTATGAGATCATATATATCAGATATTTATATTTTGTATACCATGCATAATTTTTTAAAAACCTGGGTATAATTAAGCAATTTAACTTTTACCGTCAAAACATAAAAATTAAGCAATCTAACAAAACAGTCGAACCAATTTTAACACCATTAAATTATACCAAAATAAACTTAGATAAGTCATTAAAACAAACATGGTCTTTAAAACAACGTAGTGGTGACACCTCGAATTTAACATCTTCGACCATTAAAGTAAAACATGATATTAAACGCAGTTCCTTGTGAGGCATTTTTCGCTCGCATTTTTCAGACACAAGACCGGGAAGACCATGGTTCGGCAGCAGACTGTCCAGATGACCTACGACAGTAGTTAAACATGAATAATCCATCATTATAATACAAAAAATAATACAATAATATTCATTTAACTTATTTTTAGAAATAAGTAAAGGAACACAAAATACGAAACAATCTGATTGAAAACACCATAAAACCAACAGAATAATATTCAATATTAGAGACTAACTCCGTATTTTTTAATATTTTGTAACTTAAGCAAAGAAACTCTGCATTACTGATACCTAAGCACATACATGAATGAACAGAAATTGAGTACACAAATATGTTGTTAGGAATTACGGATCTAATTCTTCCTGAAGAACACGAATTAAAAGAAAAAAAAAAGCACATAAGATTTATAGTGATTCACCCTCAACGTGAGAGTTACGTCAACTTTCTGCCGCTGTAGATTTCACCAAAATCAAAAATATTCGGGAGCTACAAATTCTCTCAATCTCTCGCTCTACCGCTTTCTATCTTCGATATTGAAGAGAGGCGACTACGAAAGATACATATAAAGAAAAATCTAGAACAAATAAACATGAGTCAAAAATACCCAAAATACTCTTAATAAAACGTTCAAAGACAACCATACTAAACAAAATAAAACATACGTTCACAACATCAATCATACGTTCACATAATTGAACATACGTTCATATTCACTGAGATACTCCATTCATACGTCCTTTCTATTGAGATTTATCTTCACAACTCAACAATCTTCCACCTAGAGATTAATCACAATCTTTGGTTTCAATCTGGAGCAATGTCTTCTATTTTTTAGTTTAGAAGACCAACTAAGGTTACACACAACATTAGCTTATTATACGGCACAACATTCTTCAACATATCTACCGGATTTTGACTTCCCGAGACTTTTCAAGCACAATCACGCCATATTCCAACAATGATCTTTTGAATTGATATTTTTGATTTATATGCTTCGTTCGAGTATGGTAAACTGGGTTCTTTGCCAAATCTATGGCACTTTTGCTATCATAATGTAGTACACTCCTCTCATGGTTCTAATCTAACTCTAACAAAAATGATTGTACCCACATCATCTATTTTGCCGCTTATGTTAGAGCAATATACTCAGCTTCACAGCTAGACAACACTACGATCTTTTGCAACTTTGAACTCCAACAAATTGTAGTATCATCAAAAGTGTAAACATACCTAGATGTACTCTTCATGCTCTCAATGTCACCTCCATTGTTAGCATCAACATATCCTTGCAACCCCATCTCAGACTTCTTGAAATACAACGATAAACTCGGATTTCCTTTTAGATACTGATCTATGCGTTTTTATCAATTAATAATCTAAATGCATCAACGATCTATCACGGAAGTATTTTAGATGTCGAACCACAAGGAATAAAGATTGCAACACTAAAGATGCGAGATTCAAACTAATCTAGAGGAAATGATTTTTATGTTTTTGTTTTGATGAAAAGATAAGAAAGCAAGAAGTAAAATAAAGAAAAGCATTGGACCATGGGTTTAACTATCATGAGAATGGACTAAGAATCAAACAATGATGCAAGAGGTTGAATTAAGCACCATCCTAGAACATGAAACTCAAAAATATGACTAATCCACTTCCATGGTACTAATCACTTCACTAATCATCTAATCATCAACAACTTCCGTTCGCAATCAAATGATCATTGAGCATTAATAACAAGTTCAATTGGTTCACTAAACACTCTAATCATCAACTCCCGTTGGCTAGATATGTAAAGCTCATAAAGGTTTGGTTCAAGCATTTTCACAAACACCTTCCGGGCATGAGTTGCTTAAGGTCTAGATTTTGAGTGATCAAGTCAAAACTAGCATTAAGAGCAACCTAGATGAAGGATCTAACAATAAGCAACCTAAATCATCATCATCTAACCATCAAATTATCCTAATCTAGCATAACCCATGATCCAACAAAAAGACTAACTACTAAACATGGTGAAAGATAAAAAGGAAATGCATAAACATAAAGATACAAGATAAAGATGAAGAATCCTTCACTAAAGTGGCATGAATTGTTGAAGATCAATCCAAAATATCAAGAAGAGAGTTTGGATCTAAATCCAACTCTAGAGAAGAAAACTTAGGTTACAAAATGTCTAAAAATTGCTTAAATACAAAATAGAATCGAAACGGGTTGACACGAGATAAACCGGGTCAAACCCAAAATTTTGCAAAGGCTTCTATAGATGCATCGGTCGATTGCTCCCTCGATTGCTTCTCGTCTGCGGCCTGTTATCGTCCCAATCGACCATTAAATCGACCAACAGGTCGATTGAAATGTTCAGTGGCTCCTCCTTTGTTCTTTTCCGCGCCAGAGTGATATATCTCCATTAAAACCACCATAATTCTTGCATCGAAGCTCTGATTCGCTTGAAATCACCTCCGTTAGAAAGGTAACTCAATTTCCGATAACTTGTATGAAGAGCTCTGAAGCTAAATCGCAATGAAAGACTTCCATCTAAGTCGATCTTTGAGGGACTTCGGACTGGTTCTGAATCATCAATTCTCTTCTTTGCATCCAAATGTGTGTCGTCCATTATTTTAACCTGAAATTGCTCAAAAGACACACAAAACACAACAAAAGACAAACAAAGACACTATAGGACTTCTAAAATGGAAGAAGACTCACTTGGACACTAAATGCAACAAAACACAATGAAAATACTAATGAAACACAATAAAATGGATCTTAACAACCATGATAAAGCGGTAAATATAGATTATATCAGATACCTTAGAATCCACTTAAACATTCCAATATTCTTTTTCCAGATTGCTCATAAACCTGCTAACGAATTCCACTACATGTGTAATGTCTGGCCTTTACATACCATCGCATACATCAAGCTGCCTATTACAGAAGCATATAGAACTGTATCCATATATGTCATCTCATCTTTAGTCACATGTGACTGATCTTTAGAAAACCAAACATGACTCGTCAAGGGAGTACTAACCGACTTTACGTCATTCATGTCAAACCTCTACAGGTTTTTCTTCACGTACTTGTCTAGTGACAACTTAAGACCCTCCTTTCCCTTACTAATTCTCATCCCAAGAATCTGTTTTGCTTCTCCCAGGACATTTCTTTTGAGACTATTGCCTTCAGCTTGTCAATCTACTGCAAGTCTCATCCCGCTATCAGCATGTCATCAATATTTAAAAGCAATATCAATTCAGCCTCTTGAAATAACAAAAACAGTCAGCCTCACACTTAATAACTCAACTTTCTTCATAAAGCTATCAAATTTCTTATACCACGGTCTTAGAGCTTGTTTCGACCTGTAAAAAATCTGTTGCAACTTGTATGCCAGCTTTTCTTGTCCTTTGACATCAAAGCCTTCAGGTTAAATCATGTCAATCTCTTCCTCCAACTCCCCGTGAAGAAAGGTCACCATTCAATAGATGGTTAGTCAAATCCGAATTATGTATGGGTCTCTTGTCTTCCTCTCGATTGAAAGAGTCACAAAACATTCAACATACCATTGCATGCAGCAATAGAATTTTAAACAGATCAATTAAGAATCCTAAAAAAAGGCCAAAGCAACAAAAAAAAAACTAACCTTTTCTCTGTATAGACGAATGAA